CATCTCTTCTGTTCTACTATTTGAATTAAAATTGTGTCGACAACTTCAAATATATATCTTGTATTATTCAAAAAAATTTGTTCAGTGCAATTTGCATAGAAATATAAAAATAATATAAATCAATCAGCAAAAGCTCTTTCAGAATTTTAAAGTTTGTTTGAGATGATTTTCTTATTGCTTCTTAAAGTAACTTTTTTGTAAAAATTAACTTATTTTTCAATAAAAAGCTACTTTAAGATGCAGTAAGAAAGCCGTCCCAAACGAAACCTAAAAACAGAATACTTTTCATATTTCAACTTTTTTTTTTTTTTGGGACATTTAGGCCATTTAAGACAAACTCACACACACAACATATACACAAAGACTCAAACCTTGGACCTCTTAGTTGGAAGCCTAAGCTCTCAACCAATAGGCCAAAGAGAGTTGTGTTTTCAACTTATTTTCAAAGAGTTAATAAAAGAAATCAGCATTTGTAGCTGCAAAAACAGATGTCAGTGTCCACACATTCAACCATCGTCAGTTTAGCACCTTTCTGTTGAAAAGTACAATTAATCGAACAAGTGAGCGGCTTGCAGTCTTTAACAAATAGGGTCATATAACATATTTCTTCTCCGGAAGCCACTGTAAACAACACAAAACAATTAGATACCATTAAGTTTAAGAGAATACTTTTTTTTTTCTTTCAAAATGTATAAGAATATTTTAATTTTAATATATTTTTAATCTAGAATTCAAATATTTTATTTTATAAAATAAAATGAAAATGATTAAAATTATTTTAATTTTTAAAATATATAGTAAGAAAGTTGTCCCGAGCGAGTTCAATTCTTGAAACAATTTTTTAGTACAAAAATTAATTTTTTTATATTCAAAAGTTGTTTTAAGAAGTAGTAAGAAAGCCGTCCCAAACTAAGGCCAAATGTGCATTTTCTAACTCCGTTGGAATGATTCCATTAATCTTAGTCATAGCACGCAAAATATACTATATTTTCCTATACAAAAGCTCATGTAGAAATTTTTTTATTCTTACATATTTGCCCCTTTTAATTTAGCTCTACATGAGCATGACCATCTGCGTAAAACTCTATGAGCATCCAAATCGTTCCTAAATTAAGATACTATTTTCCGTAATTAGAGAAAGCCTTGATACAATACAAAAGCTCATGTAGAATTTCTCTTATTATTACATATAGATCATATTATAAATTCATATTTCAATTTATTTTATAAGAATCCAATAAAAAAAAATCAACATTTGTAATAGCAACGACAGATATTTTGGTCTTTGCATTCAACCCTTAGCAGGTTACGACCCCCCCAATTAAAGCTACAATTGATCGAACAGGTGAGTGGCTTGCAGTTGGCAACTGGAAGGCTGACAGGGCACTCAATTTCATTGGAAGCCACTGTAGACAGCACAAAAAAATTTAAGTTGTATTAATGGCCGAATAAGGGAAGCAAATCTGATTATAATTTATGAAATAATCATAAAATAAATGAGGAGCATATATTACTTATTTACTTTAATTTTTTTAGTGAAAAATGGAAGGGACTGATCATATCATCCTACCAACCAAATGCATGTTATTATGTTAGCATTTTTTTTTCTATTTGAAATGACTACTAAAAGAATATAGCTTTTCACAGCAGGGCGGATCCCCATTGTGCTCAGGGAAAACTATTTTGTGCTGAGACTGGATGCAGAACGGTGTATGGAGACCAACCAGAATAAACCACGTAATTAGCAGTACCGAGCCATGGTACCGAGCAGTACCGAGCCATGGTAACAAGCAAGGGGTGACGTGGCGCATTATGATTGGTCTCCGGACAGCATGGGTTTAGTTACGTTTGGTAGCTAAAAGACATCTTTAGTGACTATTTTCTTTTTGTCTCTATTTTTTTGTCGCTATTGACCCATTTTCTTGTAGTGAAGGGTCGAGCCAAATTCGAGGCAACACCAATAGTTACTTATATCATACCATTGTACCAATAACTTCCCTAATTGTAGAGAATGTGATCGTTTGTAAGCTATAATGCATTCTATGAATCATTTCTACTCGGTGAGGTTATCTTATTTCTTATTTTTCTGATTTTTGCATTAAAGAATTACTGTGTTTTTCCTATGCTACTATTTATGGGCGGAAACAGCCTGCGAGTTATGCATAAATATAGGGTTTTTTTAATAAATAATTTAATTATACATCAAATATTTAATAAATCAATAAATGAACTTAGATTTTGGTTGGGACAGCTTCCTAACTGTTTTGTGAAACTATTATAGAGAAAATAATTATTTAAAACTATTGTAAAAAACAATTTTTTAATATATTTTTTTTTTAAAGTAATAAATTTATAATAACCAAGTAAAAATTAAGGTTGAAGTTTTAAAAGCAAAGCAATAAGATAGTTGTCACAAATAAAATCTAAGGATTTTTTTGATGACTTTCTTATTATTTCTTAAAGTAGCTTTCTAGTACAATTTTTTTAATTTTTGTACTAAAAAGCTATTTTAAGAAACAATAAGAAAGCCGTTCCAAACGAAACCTAAAAATAATAAAAAAGCAATCCCAAACGAAGCCTAAATGATATCTATGCCTTTGCTCATAATCAAAAACATATTTAATGGCCCCTTGACATTGGAAATAATCCATGAATAAATAAATGCATTAATTTTCTTCTATATAATAAAGGCCATACAAAGATAGAGAATATTTTTAAATCCTCTTGATAATCAAACTGATATATTCTCAAAAAAAAAAAAAAAAAAAAAAAAAAAAAAAAAAAAAAAAACAAAAGTATCTTGATCAAGCACGAATATTGAGGCGAAGTTGAACCGGAAACTTTAAAAATTAAATTTGGGAGCTCCCGAACTCCGATTTCAGCGAGCTTATAGTCAAACTGCGCATCACGGAAATACGAACCCAATGAAACCAAATTTAACTCGATTCGAGAACAAATCAAGCACCTGAAGTATTGTTGGAAAGCTCATACTGCAATTTGAGTTACCAAACGGTCTCTGATTTTAACGAGCTTATAGTCGAATCGAATTGCTCGACGAGAGGAATCCAACGAGCCCAAGATCACCGAATTCTGACATCGTTAAGACCTTCAAATGTCAAACAAACGGTGCACGATCAAGGGATTCAATATCGACCATCCATTTGACCACTTCCTATTTGCCCTTGATCTCACACCTATTTACGAGTTATGCCACTCCAGAAAATCTATAAATAGACCCCTCATTTCTCAGAGGGGACCGATAGCAAGAAAAAGAAGAGAAGAAGAAGAGAATGAGAAGGATAATTAACTCCTCCTCGACCACCGCCGAAGTTCCTTCCGTCGCCTGAATAACGTCGGAATTCTGCAGGATATTCAAGTGACGTCAGAACTCTACACAACTTTGTAACTGAATTTCAATTCAAAAGAAATTCATTGTAATCTGATCGTCCTAACTTGTGGGACGAATTAACCTCTTGCATCTCAAACGAAACTAGTGGAACTTTTCAACTTGGTGTGGCCCCGTGATTTTTGCCCTTTTTAGGGTTTTCCACGTAAAAATTCTGGTGTTCTTTTATCTTCTGTTTATGTGTGCTACATATTCGTGCAACGCTCGGATGAAAATTTTCTAACTCTACCGCCGCGTATATTCTAGCCCACAACAGTTTGGCACCGTCTGTGGGAACCACTATCCCACGACTTCAAGTATTGCTATGATGGTCAATAGGTGCATCATTCGTATCGTTGGAGCTTCTCGCTCCAACTCCCGTCAGTCCAGAAATTAGTCTATTAATCATAGACGCCCAATGTCTGCCTCTTTTCATCTTGGGGAGCAGAATGCTGCCGGATAAGGAACCTCGGGACCTTCTTTAGAAGAGAGAATCCGAAAGATAGAAGAATCTCAGAGTGAGATCCTTCAACTCCTGCGAGAAAATCGGCAACCAACACTAGCACAACGGGAGGAAGTTCTTCTCGCTCAGGATCCACCACGGGTTGAAGATGTTCAATTCAAACATCTTCAAATATAGATTCATCTTCCTCCACCAAGAAGACATTCGCAATCACGACAGGATAACAAACTTGCTGATACAGCAAGTTCTACACATCCTTCTCCCTCAACTCGATAGCCTCGCGTTCTCCCAAATCTCCCAGAAGACTTAGCCCAACCACACATTGTTGAACTCCCTCACAATGCCCTGAGTCATGAACTACGAAGGTTGGTACGGGAAGAGTTCCCCTAAGAGGATGTGAGGTAAACTCTCCGACAAAAGGACTTCCAGGAGTCATCACCTCTAACTGAAGCCATTCTTCAGCATCCCATTCCGGTTGGATTCAAAGTACCCAGCATCGAGTCTTACGATGAAACGTCTGACCCGTATGAGCATATCGACAACTATAGAACCATTATGCATATCCAGTGAGCCTCGGACGCACTCCTCTGTCAGGTCTTTCCTGCCACCCTTAAAGGACAGACTCGAACGTGGTTCTATTCGCTTCCGTCCGGGACAATCCCCTTTTATCAAATTGGCCAAAGCTTTCGTCGAACAGTTCGTAGCCAATCGAATAATAGCTAAAGACTCTTCCCATCTCTCTGGGATCCGTCAGAATGAAGGAGAATCATTAAAGGAGTACTTTTAGTGATTTTTCACTGAAGCTCGACCAATTTCTGGAGTTGATCCTGAACTTTTGAGAGGAGTCTTTCTCGGAGGCCTTCACCCTTGCCCCTTTTACTCGGCACTCATACGCGACACCGTTCCTTCATATGCCGATTTGATTCATCGTGTAGAAGCTCAATCTCAGCAGACGAAGTCATAAACGCTCATAGAAAATAGTTTGAGCAAATTAATGGGAAGTACAAGGGTGCATCAGGGATAGATAATTCATCATCACAATGAAAGAAGCAAGGGAAGAATAATCTACCTCATAGACCTTCATTGCCATGCCGAGAACCTCGACAAGAGAATGAGTACACTCCACTCAATACATCTCGAGCAAATATATTAATGGCTGTCCGAGATCAAGATATAGTGAAATGGCCGCATCCTTTGAAGCCGAATATAGGAAATCAAGATCAGTACTGCCACTTTCATCGTAGTCATGGCCACACTACCGAAGCCTGTAGACAACTCAAGGAGGAGATTGAAAGGCTTATCCGTCAAGGTTATTTTCGATAATTTATTCAAGATTCACCTACCCGAGAGGAAACTCGTCCCGCTAGGGGGCAAAATTAATAACCAAGGCCACCGGTGAATAATCGAATAGTAGTTGGTGAAATCGAGAGAATCGCTGGAGGCCCCTTTTTATCTGACCATGTCTTTTTGGCTGTAAATGAAAATCCAACTCCAAAGAAGGCTCGTATAGATTACTCTATCACTTTTGACGATTCTGATCTGGAGGGAGTAAAAACCCCTCATCAAGATCCGTTTGTTATCAATACAGGCATAAGTAACCCATGTTACAATGTCAAAAGAATTCTTGTGGACAATGGAAGCTCCGTAGATGTCCTGTTCTATTCCACTTTTCTCAACATGGGTCTCTCAAGAGAAAAGCTTCAACCTGCTGCAGGTCCTTTATATGGATTTGATAATCGACCTGTACGAGCTGAAGGGATAATCAGTCTCCCAGTCGTACTTGGAGAATTTCCTCGACAGTCTACACACTCCATTCAGCTCATCGTTGTAAAGTTAGAATCATTTTACAAGGCTATCTTTGGGAGGCCCATCTAGTTAATTTTTGGATTTGTCTCCTCTATCCCTCACCTCAAGCTGAAGTTTCACACTAAGACAGGAGTTAGTGTGGTATGCGAAAATCAACAAATAGCACAAACTTGCTATCTCAGACAGGTCAAGTCACGTCCAATGATTACCTTGAGCATCGATGACTTTGATCTCCGAAACGAGGATATTCCTCAGAGAGCTTCCCCTGTAGAAGACCTTACTGTTGTATCTATCTCTGAAGAACATCCTTTGAGGAAGGTGCAGATTGGATCACTTGGTCCTCAACAATTATCTTGAAGGCATCAAAGTCCTCGATGCTCAAGGTAACTGTTGGACATGACTTGACCTATCTGAAATAGCAGGTTTATGCTATTTGTTGATCTCTGCATACCACACTAACTTTTGTCTGGGTGTGGAACTTTAGCTTGAGGTGAGGGATAGAGGTGACAATCCCAAAAATCAACTGGAGGGGCCTCCCAAAAATAGCGTTGTAAGCTGATTCAGACTTTACAACAATGAACTGAATGGAGTGTGTAGACTGTCGGGGAAATTCTCCAAGTACGACTGGGAGACTGATTATCCCTTCTGCTCGTACAGGTCGATTATCAAATCCATACAAAGGACCTGCAACATGTTGGAGCTTTTCTCTTGAGAGACCAATGTTGAGAAAAGTGGAATAGAACAGAATATCTACGGAGCTTCCATTATCCACAAGAATTCTTTTGACAATGTAACGTGAGTCACCTATGCCTGCATTGATAACAAGAGAATCTTGATGAGGGGTTTTTACTCTCTCCAGATCAGAATCGTCAAAGCTGATAGAATGATCTATACGAGCCTTCTTTGAAGTTAGATTTTCATATACAGTCAAAAAGACCTGGTCATATAACAAGGGGCCTTCAGCGATTGTCTCGATGTCACCAACTGTTATTCGATTATTCACCGGTGGCCTTGGTTATTGATTTTGCCCCCCAGCGGGACGAGTTTCCTCTCGGGTAGGTGAATCTCGAATAAATTGTCGAAGATAGCCTTGATGGATAAGCCTTTCAATCTCCTCCTTGAGTTGTCTGCATACTTCGGTAGTGTGACCACGACTATGATGAAAGTGATAGTACTAATCTTGATTTCATGTGTTCGGCTTCAAAGGATGCGGACATTTCACTATATCTTGATCTCAGACAGCCATTAATATATTTGCTCGAGATGTATTGAGTGGAGTGTACTCCTCCTGTCGAGGTTCTCGTCATGGTAATGGAGGTCTAGGAGGTAGATTATTCTTCCCTTGCTTTTTTCGTTGTGAGGATGAATTATCCGTCCCTGGTGCACCCTTGTGCTTCCCATTAGTTTGCTCAAACTGTTTTCTATGAGCATTTATGGCTTCGTCTACCGAGATTTGAGTTTCTACACAATGAATCAAATCGGCATATGAAAGAACGGTGTCGCGCATGAGTGCCGAGTAAAAGGGGAAAAGGCCTCCAAGAAAGACTCCTCTCAAGAGTTCAGGATATACTCATGGAATTTGTCGAGCTTCAGTAGAAAATCATTGAAAATACTCCTTTAATTATTCTCCTTCATTATGACAGATCCCAGAGAGATGGGAAGAGTCTTTAGCTATTCTTCGATTGGTTACAAACTGTTCGACGAAAACTTTGGCCAATTTGACAAATGAGGGGATCGTCCCGGACGGAAGTGAATAGAATCACGTTCGAGTCTATCCTTTAAGGATGGCAGGAAAGACCTGACAGAGGAGTGCATCCGAGGCTCGCTGGATATGCATGATGGTTCTATAGTGGTTGATATGCTCATACGGGTTGGACGTTCCATCGTAAGACTCGATGCTGGGTACTTTGAATCCAACCGGAATGGGATGCTGAAGAATGACTTCAGTTAGAGGTGATGACTCATGGAAGTCCCTTTGTCGGAGAGTTTGCCTCACATCCCCTTGGGGGAACTCTTCCCGTACCAACCTTCGTAGTTCATGACGTAGGGCATTGTGAGGGAGTTCAACAATGTGTGGTTGTGCTAAGTCTTCTGGGAGATTTGAGAGAATGCGAGGCTGCCGAGTTGAGGGAGAAGGATGTGTAGAATTTGTTGTATCAACAAGTTTGTTATTCTGTCGTGACTGCGGATGTCTTCTTGGTGGAGGAAGACGAATCTCTGTTTGAAGATGTTCGAATTGAACATCTTCAACCCGTGGTGGATCCTAAGGGAGAAAAACTTCTTCCCGTTGTGCTAGTCTTGGTTGCCGAATTTTTCGCAGGAGTTGAAGGATCTCATTATGAGATGCTTCTATCTTTCGGATTCTCTCTTCTAAAGAAGGTCCTGAGGTTCCTTCTCAGGCAGCATTCTGCCCCCCAGGATGAAAAGAGGTAGACATCGGGTGTCTATGATTAATAGACTGATTTCTGGACTAACGGAAGTTGGAGCGAGAAGCTCCAAAGATATGACTGATGTGCTTGTTGACCATCGTAGCAATACTTGAAGTAGTGGGATAGTGGTTCCCACATACGACGCCAAACTGCTGCGGGCTAGAATATACGCTGCGGTAGAGTTAGAAAATTTTTGTCTGATCATTGCACGAATATCTAGCACTCACAAACAGAAGATAAAAGAACACCAAGATTTTTACGTGGAAAACTCTGAAAAGGGGAAAAACCACGGGGCCACGCCTAGTTGAAAAGTTCCACTAGTGTCGTTTAAGATACAAGAGGTTGATTCGTCCCAAAAGTTAGGACGATCAGATTAGAATGAGTTTCTTCTGAATTAAAATTCAGTTACAAAGTTATGCAGAGTTTCGGCGTCACCTCAATATCCGGTAGAATTCCGGCGTTATTCAGGCGGCGGAAGGAACTCCGGCGGTAGTCGAGGAGGAGCTGATTCTCCTTCTCCTTCTCTTCTTCTTCAATTCTTTTTCTTCTTGCTTTCGGTCCCCTCTCATGAGAAATTAGGGGTCTATTTATATATTTTCTGGAGTGGCATAGCTCGTAAATAGGTGTGAGATCAAGGGCTAATAGGGAGTGGTCGAATGAATGGTCGATATTGATCCCTTGATCTTGCACAGTTCGTTAGACATTTAAAGGTATTAAAAATGTCAAATTTTGGTGATCTTGGACTCGTTGGATTCGTCTCGTCGAGCCCTTCAATTCGACTATAAGCTCGTTAAAATCAGAGACCGTTTGGTAACTCAAATTGCAGTATGAGCTTTCCAACAACACTTTGGGTGCTTGATTTGGGCTCATTTGGGCTCGGATCGAGTTGAATTTGGTGTCGTTGGGTTCGTATTTCCGAGATGCTCAGTTTGACTATAAGCTCGCTGAAATCGGAGTTCGAGAGCTCCCAGATTTAATGTTTGAAGTTTCCGGTTCAGTTTCGCTTTGTGATTTCGTTGCTTGGTCAAGATATTTGATGAATTACATTAATATTATATATTTCAATTAATTATTATTTATGATGAATTTTAATAATAAAAATTTTTATCAATTAAATCATAATAACTCCATTATATAAAAAAATCATTTTTTATTATTTGAGAAATTAACATATGATACTCCACAATGAAACACTGAAGATTCGTTTGGATGTGTTTTTTTACTGCTTTCTCTAAGCAATTTAATAAAAAATTTTATTCTAACTAAATTTATTCTCTTACCGCCGCGAATATTCCAGACGCAAACAAGTTCGATAAATATTTATCCTAAAAGCTGTTTAAAAAAAAAAATAAAAATTGTCCCAAATGAAACCGAATATTCAAATTTGGCGATATAAAAATTTCTAAACATGAAAAACAAGAAGACAAGTATCATTGGAAGCCTACTTTGAACGGAAAACAGGAGAGACAGCAAGAAGAGGACAAACACAGAACCAGCCATTTCCTTCATCTTAGTAGTCTCTTAATTGTAATCTTGTACAAAGTTCTCTCTCCTTTGCATGCAGAATAATAGTTGCGCGTGTTGCTTAATTTGGCCGTCGACGTTTCAGCTTTCAGCCATGAAAGCTTTGTTTTATAAATTTCTAAATCGGTTAAGTGTGATGTATTAAATTTTCATATCTTTCTATTAATAATCTTCTTTATTTCTATTGGTAAAAATATCAATTACATGTTGAAATATTCTAGAAAGTTTGATCATATATATACTAAAAATATTTGAATTTTTTTTTAGACACCCTAATTATGAAATATAAATGTTTGTGGTGGCAGTCGTAATAACTGATGATGAATAATATTTTACGATAATTATTTTTAAAAAATATTAAATAAAAATAAGTTGTTTTGTTTTGTTTTTTTACTAAGTATGATATTTTGAAATAAATAAATATATTTAAAAAAAAATCTCAACTAAACCTTGAGGGGGAAGGGTGTCATAATTCCTAGCGATTGGAGGATGGGAGAAAAAAATGCGAGATATTTTGGAAGGGAGGAGAAAAATTTTTAGGCTTATATATTTTAGAGAGAGAGAGCATGAGCAAAATTAAGTGAAGTGTGAATCATAATATAATTATTTTTATTCTTTTATTAATCCTTTTAGTCCTGATTTTATATTTAATATAAATATGAACTATTATTAAATTAAAAGTTTATCATGATAAATAAAAAATTTTAATTTTTTTTAAATCAATGCATGCAATATAAGTTGAAGTGATTTACTATAAAATAGAATTAGAGAGATGATATTTTAATTGTTTATGTTAAAAAAGAAATATTTGATTATATTAATAATAAAATGTTTATTTAATTGTTTTAGAATATGAAATATATGTGTCATAAATTATAATTTTTTAATTATCTTATTTTTTTTCTTTTTAGAATAAAAAATTTAAATAAAATTTTTGTAAAGTCTCAAGCACAAATAAAAAAATATAAAAAATATTAGAAATATTTAGTTTATGTTCTCATAAGAAAAAATTTTGGGCCCTGCCCTTGCCCGAGTGAGTGTGTGTGTATTTTGATGATGCATGTGCAAAAACCCATTTTATTTATAAAGAAATTCTAAACAAAATATTATTTATCGTTAAAGGAAGATAATACAACGAGGTGGCGGATTACTTCCAGCTATAGCAAACAGCATTAATGGCTGGAAGCTGGGCATGAGAGCCACCTTCTCCCGCCAATTCTGCTCCCCTTCCCTCTACACTGGTCGCCTGAATCTTTCCTTGTTCTCTTTGACTCACTTAATTCCGTTATGCTGCATTCCCACACGAGCAGATCAGTCTTCTCCAGCCACCAATGTCTCCAAGAAGCCCACCCGACCCTTTTACCTCCTCCACCTCAAGGCATCCGCCTCTTCCTCTATCGTCCATTCCGTTCAAAGCCATGCCTTCAAAACTGGTTTCCTACACGACCTCATTATCTGCACCTCCGTGCTCAAGTCGCTTGCCGAGTTCGGCGAGGTCAACCGTGCCCGCAAACTGTTCGACGAAATGCTCATAAGAGACGTGGCTGCCTGGAATGCCATGATTTCGGGCTATGTCCGAAATGGGCTGCTTCTTAAGGCTCGGCTCCTCTACCAGCTCATGTATTCTTCTTGCACAAGGCCAAATTCGGTAACTCTCTCAGTTTTACTCCAACTCTGCGGCGATTTAGATGATCAGATGCTTGGGAGGTCTATTCATGGTTATGCTTACCGGCATCTTGAGTTGGAAGATACTTTCTTAGGTAACTCTCTCATTGTTTACTACAACAAGTTTGATGATATCAAAGCCTCTGAGCGTGTTTTTGAGAGCTTGGCGAGGCCAGATATCGTTTCATGGAATGCTATGGTTTCCGGGTACATGACATCAAGCTCCCCTTGGAGTTCTTTGGAATTGCTCTGGATTTTGAGAAATAAGTGTTTTCATTTAGATCTTATCACCCTGGAGATAGCACTGCAGGCTTGTTCGAGGATAGGCAAAGATGCAATTTTTGATGGGGTGTTAATCCATGGGCTTCTAATTAGATTGGGATTTAAAATGGATCTTTATGCACAGAATTGTCTTCTAATTATGTACTGTAAATGTGGAATGGTGGCGAGCGGGCAGTCTCTATTTGATACAATGGAAAGTAAGAATTTTGTCTCTTGGAATATGATTGTCAGCGGTTACATTCATATCAATTGCCCATTTAAGGCCTTGGATTTATTTTTGCGTGCTCTCGCATATGAAGCAGAAATAAGTTCAGATTTGTTGGTGAGCGCTTTACAAGCTGTTAGGTTAATGGGAGAGCAACGAAAACTTGTCATGTTCCTGCATGGCCTGGTTATTAGAATGGGCTTTGATTCTGATATTTATATAAGTAGTTCATTTATTAGTGCTTATGGTGGCACTGTGGAAGTTGAATGTGCTCGTAAATTCTTTAATTGCATTTTGCCTGCAGGAAATCATAGTACAGTTCTATTTAACTCCATGATTTCAGTTTATTTGCATCATGGATATTTCTCTGAAGCAGTAGAGCTCACCAGGAAGGAATTCTTTTATGATGCTGTATCTATTGTAAATATTCTTTCATTGTGCATCGCGAAGCTTGGTTTAAAGGTGGGTAAAGCAGTTCATGGATATACAATTAGGAACAAGTTTGAATCTGATTTATTTATTTCCACATCATTGTTGGAACTATATATCACTTATGGGGTTCTACATACTGCTTTCAAGATATTCTTATTGATGCCTGATAGGAACTTAGTGTCTTGGAACACAATGATAATTGGCTGTGCTCGTCTCGGAGTTCCTTGGGCATCTTTGAAGCTTTTTTATGATATGCTGCAAAAGGATGGTTTTTTACCTGATGCAACTTCTTTGGTGGGAGCCATTGAAGCGATTTCTCATAGAGGAATTGAAAATGAGAGAAAATTCATTCATGATTATGTCATTAAGAGTGAATTTATCAATGATGAGTTTGTTTCTACTTCTCTGATATGTATGCATTCAAGAGCTCATAATTTTAGTAAGGTGAAAATGGTTTTTGACAGAGCTCGCAAACTCGGCATAGTTACATGGAATACAATGATAGCAGAATATTCTCATCATGGTTTGATGGACAGAGCTATCTCAACCTTTGGTCGAATGAAGATTAATGGTGTCACACCTGATTCAGTTACCATGCTTTGCCTTCTTCAAGGTTGCATAGCCAGTGCCTCTCTAAATGGCCTTGCTTTGGTTCATTCAATTATTTGTAAATCTGGTTACCACGAAGATGTTTATGTAGGGTCTGCATTAATAAACGCCTACTCAAAATGTGGTGAATTGAACATGGCATGGCTGGTTTTTGATAATATGGTTTTGAGGACAATAGTCTCATGGAATTCTATGATGCTTGGCTATGGCATTCATGGAGATGTGCAAGAAGCAAGCAAACTCTTCTTGAAAATGCAAGAGTCGGGCTTGCATCCCAGTGCTGTTACTTTTCTTGTTCTCATTTCTGCCTGTAGCCATGCAGGATATGTGGAGAGGGGCATATATTATCTTGATCTTATGACAGAGGCTTACTCTTTACACCCAAGAGAAGAACATATATCAAGCTTTATTAGTCTTCTTGGCCGCGGAGGATTGGTTAAAGAAGCAAATGAGTTATTGGATAGGATACCTGAAGACCATGGAGTGTTTGCCTGGGGAGCATTTATTGGAGCTTGTCGAGTTCAAGGTAACATGGAATTGGGCTTAAGTGCAGCACAGAAGCTCTTAGTAATGAAGCCATTGAATCCGGGGTACAACGCACTTTTGTCAAATATACTTGCAGAATCTGGAAGATGGATAGAAGCTTCTCTTACTAGAAGTAAAGCTGATGAAGTGGGATTCAGGAAAGAGAAGGCCTGGAGCATGGTGCAGACTTTGGTGTGACTTCTGATTATAAGAGAGTGGATTGTCTCTATAGATTGTTCTATGTAGACTTCTTGGCTAAAAGGTATAATATATGTTTTAAACTATGATATTTATCCGTTAATTTCCTCTTTTTATCGTTCACCTCAGGCCGGATGGTTAAGTTTAATCAAAACATTAAATATGGGATCTTCTAATGGAATTAGGAAAAAAAATCTTGGCAAATATTAAATTTAGGTGATATTTTATTTAGTGACTGTTGGGGATGACGAGTAAACACCGCAATGACGAAACAAGGAAGAAAGTAAAAGTAGCAGAAAAAATAAAGGACACCGGGATTTAACGTAGAAAAATCCAAATTAGGGAGAAAAACTAAGGAGCCATACCACGCTAAGAAACCTATTATGAAAATGGGGAGAAATAAGTACAGATCTCTATTCTCTCTCGCTCTCTCCTGCTCATCTTCTCACATATACTGTTCTCAATGTCTAACATACCAGGAAATGCAAGAGAAAATCAATTATAGCCACAAAGGGACGCAATCCTTGAAAAAAACGAGAAAGAAAACTATAAAGTTCGTCTCGCAGCACTGTGGCGCCAGTTTGGGGTGCTGCGGCGCTTTCGCCTTTGTCTGATAACACTGAGGTGCTCAAACTCTTAGCGTTGCGGTGCCAAATCCCGAGCGTTGTGGCGCTCTGCTCTCTATCAATCAGCGGTGGGGCTCTCGGGAACACAACATTAGGGTGCTCTACTACATAAAGCTGGGGCGTTCTACTACATAGCGCCGGATCGTTGTTCAAAAAAATGTTTTTTTCCTAGGGCGCTCAAGTACACCTAAACCCAAGCAGCAGGTAAGCTCGCCGCACCTCCTAGTAAGCACGAGAAATTTGAGGTCCAAGGCAACAGAACAACCCGATTGATCAAAGACAATATGTTATGTGACATGAAAAGGTAATCTTAAGTTATTAACAATCAGCAACTATTTTGTTTTTGCTAATTTTTAAATGCTAAATATATTGATGCCATTTCATTCTACGTACATTTGGCAATGCCTTGAATTAAACACATTATATTTAACAGAATACACACATATTTGTAACATGCAAAAACAATCACATTAGCCCGCATTGTATATCCAGATGTATACCTTGAGCCGAGTTGTTGAGACTCGAAAGGTTAAGGCTAGTAGACTCGCTGAAAGCCAGGTTGTATTGGTCAAGAATTGCGATGGATTCACTAGAATCACTTTCCCCAATCTGAGAAGGCACTTTTCCAGCCCAAGGAATCACTCGCCCAGCCTTGAGTGGGCACTTACTCAAGCCTACGGAGTCGCTTGCCGCCTTGCCCCAGCCTAAGGAGTCACTCACCACGTTATTTTGTCATGTATTTTTTATTCATTTTTTGTGAGATACAGATATAACTTCTTATATAACATTCAAAATATTATAAATATAGGATAAATTATTACGTGAGGAGTCTGGACGTAGAGTTAAGTAGATACTTCAACAAAAACATGACATCTGTCTTTTGTACACAATGTGTATAAATTTGTACATATTGTATACAACTCAGGGGTGGAACCACCTATAATTTTCAGGGGGGGCAAACGTATAAATAAATGTTCGCATATATGTCGGGGGACCAAGGGGGCAGTGCCCTCTGCCAGGGTTCGACCTGCACGGTCAGGTCACGGGGTCAAGGGGCAGCGCGCAGGTGCCCCTGCGGGGCTTTCCGGGGGCTATTTACTATTTATATTTATATTTGGTTCATCATTCCCTAACAATAACACATATATACAATGTATTTAATAATATTGGGGGCATTTGCCTAAAGACCATAGTATTTTAACATTTTTAGGGGGAGGGGGGGTGGTGCAATTACCTAAAAAGCCTTGTCATAAAGACTAAAAATTACCTAAATAAGAGTATAATAAAAAAAATTTTGAGGGGGGCAATTCCCCCAGCAACAAAGGGGTTCGGCCCCCGATACAACTGTATAAACAATGTGTATTTATGTATATAAGCTTATATACACTATATACATAAAAACAGCCAGCAGTGGCAGATTAGCTTTCTCTGTTCTAAATCGAGTGAAAGTTTAATGGTTATTAATTGTGAGCGAAGCTTTCATGATCGATGACCATCCATCATAGAGCTCGATAGAAATGGCAAAACTTCAAAAAATGATTGGCCTTCCGATAATGGAAAATTTTTGCACACAAGTGCTAATTATTACATTCAGACCTCCTTTTGATTCGACTTTTTTTTTTTTTGCCATTCTCTGTTTGTAACGGCAGAAATTTTTTTTGTGTGTTGTTTATTTGTGACACTTTTGCATAAATGTTTTTTAAGGAACTTTATTTTTGTATTGTTTTCAAAAGTTTTAGTTATTTATGGCTCGTTTGTTTCCACGGTATTTCTCCGTTTTTCTTCTTTTTTCCGTTTGAAACTGGAAAACGCAGGCTTGGAAGATATTTGGATGTGTAGCAGACTTTTTTAAAAACTCCATTTTTGTATTGTTTTGAGAAGCATTATTTATTAGCTTCTCCGTTTTAAAAAGACCTTTTCTCCTATTGGTGTTTTTTATACCGTAACGGAAAAAATACCAAATGAAGCCTTACTTCTATGTCAAAAAACTCTGTTCTCTCAAACAACAGTTTTTAAAACTACCTTTTAAAAAAGATAGAAGATAACCAAACCAAGCCTCAATTAGACCCAAGAGTATAACTGTATGGTGCTGTTTGTAAAAGGTATCAACTAACCCATAAATGGAGTTAAGACCTCATATCATCTTAGCCCATAAACTAAGGTCAAATTAAAAAAAAAATCAAATTAAAAGTTTTTTTTTGGGGGAAATTTGGGGCAAAAGCCCATCAATTACTATAAAAAGATTACAAGTAAAAGAAGAAAAACCAACATAAGAACAACAAAACTCTTATGTAGGAAAAGATCAAAAAAAAAAAACCCCAACTATACCACCCAAAATTTTACATCAAAAAGAAAACTATAAGCTCCAAAATGGTAGTAAGTAAGGAATTCCAAAAAGATTCCCGCCAGATGAAACGATGACCCTGATCTTCAGCACCGGTAAAAAGAGATCCAAAACCTGCACAAAGAAACACAGAGCCTGCTCCCGGGCTAAACAGGCTGCACTCAGAGGGATTAATAAGGAAACAAGTCGTAATCCTGGTTGCCCAGAGGCCGTCCGAGAGATTACAGGGAGCTTCATCATTGTACAGCCAGCCCAAAGCCACCACGAAGGGACCAGCCAACATGCCAAATTCCAGCACAGAAACAGTAGATAATTCCAGATAATCAGCAATACAGCACATCCAGCGATTGCCCCATTTAGGCCAAAATTTCTTGAAAGTGAAGTTTAAGGGAATCATAGTATTTCCATTTGATCACTTTAGCTCTAATAGCCTGAATAATCACCACTTTTAGTTCAGAAATATTCTTCCTTAAAGACGCAAATTTTCTCCCATTTCGTTCCCTCCAAATCCAGTAAACAATCACAGAAATAGTAAGATAGCAGAATTGCAACTCAAAACTGCTAAAATGCCTAATGCTGCCCAGAAAATCATAGACCTGATGCAAGTTCGGTCTAAAATAGAAACTTCTAAGAGGAGGTAGAAGGGCAGAAAGCAAACTGAAGGTGTAATCGCATTCAAAATACAAATGCGCATGATTTTCCCAGTTAGCGTCGCAGAAAGAACAAGAAGAAGCTACAGGAATCCCTTTAAGAATAAGTAAATCCGCAGTCTTAAGCTTACGGTGCATGGCCATCCAAGAATAAGATGCATATCTCAACGCATACCCTTTATGCCAAATAAATTTGGCCCAACCAATATCCTCCAGATTTGAATAAAACAGTTTAGAGAAAGTTTTATTAGTGGGAGAATCCACCCCATCCCAGCTAATACAATGAGCCAATGAGCTAAATTCAATCTTCATGACCATGGAAGAAATGTCATCAGGAATTGCCAAAGGAAGGTTCCAAGAATTATTGGCCATAACATCAGTAATCATCAGATTAGAGAAATGGTGAGGGCAGGAAAGCTCAACCAAGGCTTTTTTGTTGCACCACGGGTCCCAGTAAAAAGAAAAATTGCTATTAAAATTCACAACCAAAGAAATATGCTCTCTAATTTCAACGGCTTTAAGGCAGCACAATTTCCAAAATTTAGATGCAGAGGGAGGATATGGTTTCCAAGGGGAGCAGAATTTCTCCCTAAACCAAAGCCCAAGGATGTTGTCTGAGTTATACATCCTAAAAATAAAAGAACAGGCCAAATTATGATATAAAACATCAAAACTGGGTAAACCAAGTCCACCTTTGCATTTAGGTGAAGCAACCGTATTCCAAGAAATAAGATGCAATTTTTTATCTTTGACATTGCCAAAAAACAGAAATTTGGCACACATTTTGCTTATACTTTTGCAACAAGCTTTAGGTATGATACTTCCACGGATCCAGTAAGCAATAGTATTGCTTATAGTAAACTTTAAAAATTGAACTCTACCCGCAAATGATAAGAATTTAATCTTCCAGCCCTCAAGCAGTCCAACAATTTTATCAATCAGAGGTTGAAAATGAGACATGCGCAGTCTGCTAGCCGAGATTGGCAAACCCAGATAAGTAATAACCTCAGCCACATTAGAAATGCCAAGGCAACCAGCTAAAGTAGAGACAAGAGAGGCATTGACACTTTTAGAGAAGATCAAAGTGCTCTTACTAGTGTTAATAAAAAGGCCAGATACCTTAGAAAAGTAATGCAATATATCCTTGAGAGCAAGGGCATTATCCCTAGAGGCCTTCCCAAATACCAAAAGATCATCAGCATACATCAGGTGAGTTAAAATACAATTACTATTAGGAATGCCTTTAAAGTGAAAACCCAGATTATTTTCCAAAGAGGAGGATAGTGCATCCATGGCAATACAAAACAAAAGTGGAGATAAGGGACAATCCTGTCTCAAGCCCGAAGAAGAATTAAAGTATCCTTCTAAAACCCCATTAATAGAGATAGAGAAATGTACATCGGATATGCAACCTTTAATCCAGTTAACAAAGATGTCCGGAAAACCTTTCTGAGTGAGTCTATGAAGCAAGAAAGAACGAGAGACAGAGTCAAAAGCTTTTCTCACATCAAGTTTGGCACAGAAAGATCCCTTACTACTTTTGAAATCCTGCAGAATCTCGGAAGCAAGAATGATGTAATCAGTAGAACTTCTCTTAGCAACAAAACCAGACTAGGATTTGTTAATAATCAAGGGCAATATAGGCTTCATCCTATTAGCAATAATCTTGGCAACAATCTTGTAAAAAACATTACACAGAGAGATAGGACGATAATCAGAAATAGAGTTAGAATGAGTACCCTTAGGAATGAGAGTGATTATCGTAGATTTGGCCCCTCTAGACATAAGCCCAGTGGAGAAAAAGTGTTTAACAGCCGAGCAAAGTCTATTCCCGGAAATCAGCCAGGTTTTTTGATAAAAAGCAAAAGAATAGCCATCAGGACCCGGAGCCGAGGAAGCCACTCCCCCAAAAACCACCTTCTTGATCTCATCATTAGTAATAGGAGCAATTAAAGCAGCTAAAGCAGTAGAAGGGACAGTGTTACCAGTCGGAATGTTGTAAGAATTTTGCAGAGGAGGGGCCGGTGCATTAAATAGAGACTGGAAATGGTCCACAAGAGCCTTAGAAATCTCAGCATGAGAGGTAAGGATGCCAGTGTCAGTAATAAGCTCTTTAATCATATTCTTATTGGTTCTAGCTCTGATCTTGGCAAACAGGAAGCCAAGATCATCCTCTCCTTGTGACAACCAATATGCCTTAGCTCTTTGGGAGATCCAAGAAGACCAAGCAACATGGGCAAAAGCCAGTTGCTCATTAGTGTTCTTAAGTCTGATGTTCAGTTCCGAGCTAAGAGGATCAGTTTGAATTTGCTCAAGGCATAAAGCTTGTTGATTTTTAAGATGCATAATGTTGTAAGAAAGATAGTTGGAAGAGTACCAATTCTTCTTTTTAATAGCATTTTTTAGAGCAGCCAGACTATCATAAAGAGAAGCAATTGGGGAGGCAGCAAGAGGCCTATCAAAAGCAGTGAGCAATTCATCCCAAAAGATATCAAAGCTAAGCCAAAATTCCTTAAACATGAATCTAGAGGCCCCTTTTTTATGAGAATTGGCATAAAGAATAATAGAAGCATGATCCGAACCTGAATGGGAATCCACTTTATAATAAGCCAAAGGAAAAAGATCCAGAAAAGAAGGGTTAATCAGCATACGGTCTAATTTGATGTGAATCGGATTATCCGACCTCTGATTAAACCAGGTGTAATGTAGACCAACAGATTTGAGATCAAGCAATCCAGATTCAAACATAAAGGAGTTTAATTCACCACGTCTTGAGCTAGAAAAAGAGTTACCACCAGCCTTTTCCTCATCAAATCTATGACAGTTAAGATCTCCCATTAAGAGCCAAGGAGAATCCATATAAGCCGCAATGTTCAAAAGAGAATCCCATAACTCCTTCCTTTCTTCAACAGAATTAGAAGCATAAATAATCGTGAGGTAAAAAGGGGGCAAGCAGCCCGAATTAACAGAACCATGAATAACCTGAGAGGAGGAGAAAATGGGATTGAAAAGCAGAGAGGAGGAGTCCCATTTTACCCAGATACGACCAGGAGAAGAAGAAGTGAAATTATGACAGCTGCTCTCATTCTCAAATAAAGAATGAGTGTATTTGAACCAATCATTATGCAGAGCATCAGGCTGTATTTTAGCTTCTAAAATACAAATAAGCTTCAGATTAAACTTCGAAATAAGATCTTTGCACATCTTAACTTTACCCGGGCTATTAAACCCCCGCACATTCCAAGCACCCAAAGGAGGCAGGGACATAAATTATTTGTGGGATTTGGCCTTCTTGGCCGATTTTGCTTTGGCTTTTTTAGGAGAGGAAGTAGCTTTAGAAGAAGAAGATGAAGCCTTATGAGTCGAAGGCTTCAGAATGGTCTCCATCACAGTTTTCGAAGAGGAAGAGGTTTCCTCTTCAATTACTTCTTCATCATTAGGATCATCTTCCGGATTGACAGCAGCGTCTAACGGAAGAGCTTGAAAACTGTTAGCTAACAAGACTTGTGTGGGCTTCAGGAGAGTATTAGGAAGAGAATGGTTAGCTAAGAAGGAATCAGCCTGAGGGAGATTGAGGTTAGGTAGGACAATGCTCTTACCCGAAGGCAAATCAGGAGGTACCTTAGAGCTAGACGGCTCTAAATTTGGTTTTTGATGAGGTTTTTCATGAACGGGTGGAACCAAAGAAACTTTCTCCCTGGAATTGCTAACCGCACGAGCGGCAGGTCCCCTACTTTTACTTCTTCCTCTAGTCGGCGGCTTCTGAGGAATCAAAACTTTAGGAGTTGGATTTTTTGGGCATAAGGCAAAGGAGTGAATAAGAGATCCACAACCTTCACACCTAGTCGGTTTCCAGTCATAAACGACCTTCAAGTTTATATCTAGCCCATCAATTTCAATAGGGATCTCATCAGCTAAAACCGAATTTTTATCCACCTCCACACAAACTCTCGCGAAGGTGAGCCTCGTTCTTTTGGCAGTAAGAGCGTCAACATAAAGGGGAATACCAATGTAACTCGCGATTTTGGAAATACCTGACGGGGTCCAGAGGGCAAGAGGAAGGTTGACAATTTTGATCCACAGAGGAATGGCCGCAGACTCATCTCTTTTAGGTTGAAACTTAGGATCCCATCTCTGTAAGATGAATGGCTTGCCAAGCAGAAACCAAGGGCCACCCGCTAGAACCATATCATAGTCCTCCACAGCAGTGAACTTGAGAAGGAAGAAATCATCCACCAGAGAGATTAGAGAAAGATCACCTTTGAGCTTCCACGCCTTTTCCATGGCCAATCGAAGTCGCTCGTAATATGGTCTTGGGCCAAGAGAATATCCCACAAGAGATAGATTCCAAAGGGTCTTACCTTCAGAAAGGTCATTCGAGACAAAAGAAAGTTTTAAAAGATCTAAATCAAATTAATATTTCTTTTGGAATAATTTGTTTACTATTTTCTACAATAATTTTCTGGCATAAAAATATTTCGAAAGCAGTGAAAAATAGTGACTTAAAGCTGTCCGAAGCTTAAATCATGCTAGCTCTAGGAACCAGATGCGGAGCCCTGGTAAAATATTTTACATGTTTTGCACAAAAATGTTTATGTCCATTTCAACAAAACCCATTCCAAGAGGTTAAAACTTACAAAGAACCTCTTAAATTGAGAGTACAAGCTCCATCTTCCAAGCAATGGAGAAGTGGAGCTCTCAACCCCGTTGTATATGTATCAAGCTACGTCAACATCAAAATTAAAAAATTCAGGTTTTATTTGGGACGGCTTTATTAATGTTTTTAAAGTAATTTTTTTAGTAATTTTTCTACTGAAAAAATTGTTTTAAGAAGCATTAAAAAAACCGTCACAAACAAAGTCTTAACCATTCAAATATCGGTCGGGATTCCGTACTTCTACCAAAGTTATAAGTTCTGAACCACAAAATATAACGAAAAAAGAAAATGTGACAGCAAGGCAAAAGCTTTGCAAGCCTTCGCCAAATACTGGGTCATCATGGTTAAAGGACAAAGGTCATAAGACTTTCTTGTAAATCACCTTCAAGTTAAGGTTGTAGGTTCCATCTCTGGGCATTCCTAGTATCAATATGATCTAAAAATTCACATGATTAAGTGCAAATCTTGAGAAATACAAAATTAAATTGGGACTATCTTAAATCAAGCACTCAAAGTATAATTATGAATTTTATGATACAATTGGAGGATCAAATGATTTTTTTAGTATCATATGTTTGAAGTAAGAATAAGCGTCTCAATGAGAATAACCCAGTGTGCTTAAAATTGATCAATTTTGATGTAGTTAAGGTGCTTAAATGCATTACAAATCTAATATAGTAAATGAGATCATCATAGGTCAACCGAGGGAGTATTTGAAGATTTTGACAAAAATAACCGAAATATTATTGAAAAAACTTAAAATAAACTCCATTTTGCTAATAAAAAAAGACTTGAATTTGGAGAAACTTCACAATTTTAAACAATCCTAAAGCTCTCTTGTTGATAATTTTCTCCAATGATCATTGTGACCAGACTATCGTCTGATCACCATCGACACCAATAATGTATTGGCCAACCACATTAAGCCCTTCACAACTAATAAGGTTGATGTTTTTGACTGCTAACAACATTGACACTCATATCACAAATAATGGTGATGTTGGTCGTCGACACCAATATTAGCATATGTCACCACCAATAAGGTTAACACACACCATCTACACACCCACTTATGCTAGGTAACACCAATAAGGTTGTCATACTTCATTGTCACTAACATTGATATATGTCAATACTAATAAGATCGATAGGATGTGTCAATACCAATGCCGACACACATTAATGCCAACAAAATGTCATTATCCATCATGCCACCTATCTTGATGT